GGTGGGAGGGGCGGGCGAGGGTGGCTCCCAGCACATCTTAAAAGGGGCTCCATGCCACTTCCTCCCCAGACAGCGGAGCTGGGGACGCGGGCGCAGCCTTCCTGTGTGGTGACAGCCGTCAGCAGTGTCATGGACCCGGGTGAGTGAGCTCCTGCCTGAGAAGGCGCAGTGCTGGGGCCGGGGACACCAGGCCGAGCCTCGGCACAAGGTGGCGGCCTCCACCTTGTCATCCAGGGAAGGTGTCATCCGGGGAGGGACCGTCACCGGTGCCCGGGCTGGGGGACAAGCAGGGGCCACGCTGGGTGCCTGGGGGAACCTGCTCTCAGCTTGGGGTGAATGGCCCCGTGGTTCCCGGCTAAGCAGGGCTGGAGGCGGGAAAGCTGGAGCTGCCCCCGCCGTGGGGTCGGTGCCAGCTATGCAAATGCCAGCCACCTCATCCTGTCCCCGCGACCGTGCTGCCCCCTTTGCACTTACCCCTTGCAAGTTCGGGGCCCAGCCAGGCGGGGCATAGGGTGGAGACGCCCTCGTCGGGCCCCCAGTTGACAAGAGATACTTTGAGGGGCACCCTGGGGTGGGGGCTGTTCGCAGAGCGGATCCTCCAGACGCCCGGTCTCGCCTGCAGATCTGGCCCGGCCAGGTGAAGGCCAGGTTCCTAGAGGGCTCCGCCACCAGCCAGCCCGGCCTCAAAGCCACAAGAGGGCGGCTTTAAAAAGTGAAGGTTCCTGCGCTGTCCCCAACCCTCCTCACCACACCACAGCCCTCGGCTCTGCCTTCCCCGCCCACCGCACCCTGCATGTAGAGAGAGGGCTCCCCAGGCTCTGAGTGCGAACCCTGGAGGGCGGCATCTCACCCCGCCTCTCCCTACCCTCCTCTGCCTTGAGGCCGGAGCAGGAAGTGTTTGTGGAATGAATGAATGAGTGACTGATGAATGAATGGATGACTAGGGGTGTCAGCCACTCCAAGTCAATTTTAGGTTTTGAGAATCTCTTCCAGATGGGCGCGGTGGCGCATGCCTGTGATCCCAGCGCTCTGAGAGGTTGAGGAAGGAGGGTCCTTCCTTTAAGCCCAGCCTGGGCAATTTACCAGGATCCTTTCTTAAAAAGAAAAAATCTCTTTCAACCTCTCCTAGCCAAACTGCTTCATAAGATCACCCACAGGCACCCTCCTCGAGGACCACAAGCCCAGGGCACCCATACTACCCACAGAGACCTGCCTGCTCCAGCCTCCTGCTGCCTACATAGCTTAACACAGTAGGAAGCTGCCATTGGTTTCCACCCCAAGACTTAAGTCCGGGGCGCCCGGGGCAGAGAGACAGGGCGCAGTCTGGCCCGGAGGAAGGCGTGCTGTCACCTCCTAACTCGAGAGGGCCCCCGTGGCCGAACCCCCTGAGTCGCTTTGCTCAAAACGCCACCGGGCCGTTGGGAGGACGGGTGGACCGCGAAGGCTCGGTTTTCCGCGGCAGCCGGGAGCACGGCGCGGGTGAGGAGGCAGGGTTTCTATTACACAAAGTGAGAGCTCAGCGCAGGCTGCGCCGCCTGCTTTCCCGGTTTGAATGAGCAGCCCGAGGTGCCCCAGACCTCAGAGGTCTCAGAAGCAGGGCGAACACCGATGAGCGCGCCAGGCCGGCGTCCCGCAGGCCGGCCAGAAACCGCCCGGAGAGGACCGGGCAAGGCGAAGACCGGCAGGGCCGCCGCCGCCAGGGGGCGCTGTGGACACGCGTCCTCGGCGCTGGCTGCGTTCTCTGGGCCACTCTGTCGCTGCGGGGGGAATTCAGGGACTGACAGATCCAGGGCGTCCCTGAGCCGCGGGGACAGGGTGAGCTATAACACCGAGGAGCGCAGGAGCAGGGCAAGGACAGAATGGGGAACGTGGATGAGGGGCACCGAGGGTGGGCCTTGAAGGGTGGGTGGCGTCTCCGATCCATCGCTAGCTGCTGTGTGACCCCGGCAGGTGGCTTCACCTCTCTGGACCCCTGTGGTCTGGAACGTGACGTGAGACTGGCATGGCGTCGTCTTGCAAGATGTCAGGAGCCAGAGCCGCACGATGCAGTGGGCACCTAAGCACAGGAAGATGAGGTTTCCAGGGGCAGGGGTTGAAGCCCACCTCCACTCCTGGCCATTGGGCAACCCGGGGAAAGTCACTAACCTTGCTGTGACTCAGTTTCCCCACGGGCAGGTGGGGGTGATTGTAGTGCCACCTCTGCGAGAACGGGAGACACCCCCGCCCCCGAAGGCAGTGTGGCAGAGGGCTTTGTGCCCACAGCACCATCACTGGACAAAGCATGGGCTCCCTCCTGTCCCCGCTGCCCGCAGAAGAGCAAGGCGGTGGGGGACACACCCGTGACCCCAGCACTCTGGGAGGCTGAGACAGGAAGATGGAAAGTTCAAGCCCAGCCTGGGCAACAGAGTGACTTAGTGAGACCCTGTCTCAAAAAGGAAAACAGGCTGGCGTGGCCAGCCCCAATGCCCTGCTTCGAGCAGAGGGTTCTCAGGCCGGGGAGCAGGCAGGAGTTGGGGGGATTTTCTTGTCCTTATGATCACTGCTGAAAACTCAAGAACTCAGAAAATACCTAACATCTAGGTCAACCACTCCTTAGACCCAAGATTCCCAAGCTCATGGTTCCCACCCCTGCAGCTGCCCGGGGCGGTTGCTTTATGACTTCATAACAGACAGGACTGAATTGACTCAGGACCCCTGGCTGCCAGAATTCCCCTAACTTCCCCTGGTAGCTTTCTCAAAAATGGGCCGTCCTGGGCCTCCGGACCCCAGCTCAGTCCCAAGCCCGTCGCCAGGAATGACAAACCACACATGCACACACACACACACACGCGCGCGTGCGTGGACACACGCGCACTCACACACAGCCAGGCCCCTGCCCCCACGGCAGCACACGGACCGCGGGAGCAGAGAGTAAAACAGAAACAGCTCCTGCTCTTTATACCTCGCCCACTAGATCTGATCAAAAGCTTGAGCTCTCCTCCTTGATAGTCAGAGTGAGCTTTCTCTAGAGTAACCGAAAGACAGGGACGACATGAAAGGAACCTCGAACGCTGAACGGCAGTCTGAGCCGGGGGGTGGGCGGCGCGCTGGACCCTGCCAGGGTGTACTTGCCAGAACACGCAGCCTGGCAGGCTCGGGGCTCCGCCTGGGCGCCCGGTACTCACGCGCAGCTGGGCACGGGCAGGGGTACCCAGAAACACGATTAAGGAGGCGTGGGGGGCCGATCGCTGGGCGGAGCACAACTTCAGCTGGGCAGGGCCCTGTGGGTTTGGGAAGCAGATGCCCTGGGGCTGGGATCGCAGTGACGCCTCCGGAAGACGTCGCTGGCAGTAACACGCAGGGTAACCTGTTGGAGGTGGCAGAAAAGCCTGTGGACCGAGGCGGGCTGATCCCCTTCCAGCCTTCCCCAGGAACCCCCAAACCCAGCACATGAGCTTCAGGCAACTCGTGTGCCATGTGCCCAGGGCTCCAGCAGGGGGCGCTGTCGCCAAGGACAGGAATGTCAGCTGCTTCCCAGTCTCCAGAAGGCCCGCTGTGGAGTAGGGTCTCACACTTCCAGCAGCCGTGACAGCCAGCAGGTCCCGCCCCGGCACTCGTGCACGGCAGCTCAGGGACTGACACCCCTAGGGGCCGGGGCCTGGCTGTGAACTGAGGACCAGGAGACGGGGCGGGACCTCGAGGCGGTCACACGGCTCAGCTGGGCGGAGGGGGTCCCAGACCCCTACACGGGCGTCAGTCTGCATCCGCCAGGCTCAGCACAGCTGCCTGTGTTTGTTTACACAGGGAGGAGTGCTCCCGGCACAGTGTCCCTCGGGCCACCTGAGCCCCTGGCCTCGTTCTGTTCCTGGCACCTCCTCCAGCCTGGGCCTGCCCTAGGTAGAAGGAAGGGGAGCCCCCAAACACCCTCGAATTGTGGAAAGACCAGGAATCCAGTCTTCTCAGTAACCCCCAGGGCCACACCTCCCCTTCCGGCCCACAGCAGTGGGAGGGGCAGCGGCCCCCAGTCAGGCCCGACAGTCTCAGGGTCCGGGGCACCCCTCAACCCCAGCAGCAGCCAGATGGGCCAGGCCAGGGTGGAAAGGGGGACAAGGACACAGGGGGACGGGGACGCCGGCGGCAGGCCAGCTGTTCAAGGCACGATCCGATCCTGATGTCCTGGAGCGGGGGTGGGGGTTCCTAGCAGCGGTCCCATTCCCGCTCTGCTGCGCTTTCTAAAGCACTGACCCTGCCCGGCGCTGACCTCCCCTCCTCTCTCCTCCAGGGAAGCCGATGAGGACCCTGCTGGCGGTGGCCCTGCTCGTCCTGTTCCAGGTGAGCTGGGGTCCTCGGGCGCCCTGTCCCAAGTCAGCCAGGGCAGGGGGGAGGGCAGCAGAGGCCTAGGCCCAAACCCTCCAGCCGTTCATTCTGCCGGCAGCCGCCCCGTCCACCTGCAGAGTGACCATGGAGCGCCGCAGGTGCCCTCCGCACTCCACTGTGCGCTTAACCCGGAGCTGGGGGGGGGGTGCATCGCAGCGGCCCCTCCCCACCCAAGCCCACCGCGTCCTCACCCAGAGGCTGGGCCTTCGAGCCCAAGGCCACGAACAGAGCCGGACACATGGGGACCTGGCTTGGCACTCCCACACACACCCCCACGTGTGTAAGTGCCACGTGTGAGCAGAAAACAGAGCCCTCGCCCCAGGGTCCCAGCTGCTCTCCTGTCACCCAAGCTGTCTCCCATGCCACCTCTAGCCAGCGGCCCCATTCCCTCGGTGACACAGGGACTCCTCTGCTGTCCCGGCCAGGGACAGGGCCGCGTTAGGAGGGATGAGCTCCGCGCGCGCGCACACACACGTGTACACACACACACACACGTGTACACACACACACGTACACACACACACACACACGTACACACACACACACACACACACACACACAGGCCCGTCTCCATTCCTCGATCCCAGCAGCGCAGGCAGAAGCGGCAGGACTGCCAAGAGCGGAGCGGCAGAAACGTAACTCTGGAGTCGGGTTTCCTCCGCCGGCGGGCGGGCGCTCTCTGGGGCGCGGCCCAGCCTCAGAACTGGGCTCTTTCCCAGGTCTGGCGGCCAAACAGGCAGTGTTCCAGGAGCTCCGGCCAGAGCAGGCCCCGAGCTGGGCAGCGTTCCCAAAACCCCAGCACCGCCCCCCGCCCCCAGCTCGGGCTGCAGCCCCGGACCTGGCCCCTTTCCCTCGCCACCCCCGCCCCGCGGCCAGGCTGCACCGGGCTGGATCCGCCCGGGGCTGGGGCGGGATGCGGAAGGCTGGGGCGCGTTCTTCTCTTTTCCTGGGGGGGTGCAGACAGACAGAGCAGGATGTGGTGGGGCTGTGGGCTGCAGAGGTGGTGAGGCTGGGGGGGCTGGAGGGGTGCGGGAGGAGAGGAGGGAGGGCCTGCGGGCACACTTCATAGAAGCCGGGGTCCTGCCCCCTCCAAGGAGGCCCAAGACCTTGAATCCAGGGAGCTCAGGCTTGAGCCCCGGGCCTTCCCGCCGGGCACCGAGAACAACCACCTCCAAGGGCAGCTGTGTCCTAGAGAGGGTGAAGGCTCCTGGGCGCCCTACTGTCCTCCTGTCCCCAGGCGGGACCGTGATGAACGCAGAACTCAGATTTGTCACTGAGCGGCTGAGGGTCCGTGCCCAGCCCCTCGCAGAGCCGGGCGGGCATCCTGCACGGAGTGAGCCCGGGCCCCTCCTCGGCTGGTAAATCACAGCGGGCTGACGAGCATCACCTTAGACGGACTAAAAGGACCCCAGAGCACCTGAGCCCCGCCGGCCGGATTGCCGGGATCTGTGGAAGAGAAGACGGCCGTGGGGTTAGGGCGGGAGCCCCCCACATCCTTCCAGGCCCAGCTGCCAGCAGGGACTGGTCTCCCCGCGCCCCAGCCGGCCACCCGGGCCCTGTCCGGCAGAGCTCCGCCCAGAATCAGGGCTCTGCTGGGTGCCCGTGGGTGCCAGGGACCCTTCAGGGCCCCACGCTGTCACGCCATGATCAGCAGACTCGGGCCTTCCTCCCCCTCCCACGGTCCCCCAGCCTGGACCCTGAGGTGGGGTTTGGGGCATTTTGTGGCCCCCTGGAAAACTTCACCAGGGTCAAACAGGAGCTCCAAGAGAACGACTCACACCCCAACCTCCTGGGGTTTCCTAAGCACAACAGAAAACCTCCGTGGATGTGAAAGGAAACCAGGACAGGGATGCGGGCCTCCCAACCACCGCGTGGGGAACATAAGGAAATAGGATGTGTCCGTTTCACAGGAGAGAAAACTGAGGCTTAGAGACAGGACTTGTATCTAACCAGGCCCAACTCCTTGGGCCCAAGGCTCAGACCACATCCGGTCCCCCATCAGCTCCTAGGAGGTGGAGGGTGGAGGGTTGGCAAAATCGGACCCCAGTTACTGATTAGTAGGGAGACAAATCAACAGGATCCCCAGGAAATGCTTATGTGTGGTCAAGCTCAAGAACTGATTTCAAATCAAAGCATCACCTAGACAGACGAGAAAAATGCGGACACAGACACCCGCTACCCCCAGGTGCTGGTCCCGTGTGAGTCTCCGCTGAGGCCTGAAAATGTGCGTTTCCGGCACATTCCAGGGGGTGCGGATGACGGGGCCACACTGTGGAATCGCCGCTCTGCCAGGGTGGCGGCCAGACTCCCCCGGGCCCGGCTGACCCGGGCCACCCGCCCTCGTGTCTTCCTGCAGGTGTGCCTATGCCAAGATGGGGTCACGGACGACTATATCGGCGACAACACCACGGTGGACTACACCCTGTACGAGACCTTGTGCTTCAAGAAGGACGTGCGGAACTTTAAGGCCTGGTTCCTCCCGGTCATGTACTCGGCCATCTGCTTTGTGGGGCTGCTGGGCAACGGCCTGGTGGTGCTAACCTACATCTACTTCAAGCGGCTCAAGACCATGACCGACGTGTACCTGCTCAACCTGGCCATGGCGGACATCCTCTTCCTGCTGACCCTCCCCTTCTGGGCCTACAGCGCGGCCAGGTCCTGGGTCTTCGGGGTCTCGCTGTGCAAGGTCATCTTCAGCATCTACAAGACGAGCTTCTTCAGCGGCATGCTGCTGCTCCTCTGCATCAGCATCGACCGCTACGTGGCCATCGTGCGGGCGGTGTCCGCCCACCGCCACCGAGCCCGCGTGTTCCTCATCAGCAAGCTGTCCTGCCTGGGCATCTGGGTGGTGGCCATGCTGCTGTCCGTCCCGGAGATGATCTACAGCGGCCTCCAGGGCGGCGGCAGCGAGCAGACGCAGCGCTGTTCTCTCCTGCTGGAGCAGGTGGAATCCCTGATCATCATCCAGGTGGCGCAGATGGTGTTCGGCTTCCTGCTGCCCCTGCTGGCCATGAGCTTCTGCTACCTGGTCATCATCCGCACCCTGCTCCAGGCCCGCAACTTCGAGCGCAACAAGGCCATCAAGGTCATCATCGCCGTGGTCGTGGTCTTTATCGTCTGCCAGCTGCCCTACAACGGCGTGGTCCTGGCACAGACGGTGGCCAACTTCAACATCACCAGCAGCACCTGCGAGCTCAGCAAGCGGCTCAACATCGCCTACGACATCACCTACAGCCTGGCCTCCGTCCGCTGCTGCGTCAACCCCTTCCTGTACGCCTTCATCGGCGTCAAGTTCCGCAATGACCTCTTCAAGCTCTTCAAGGACCTGGGCTGCCTCAGCCAGGAGCGGCTGCGACAGTGGTCCTCTTGCCGGCATGTGCGCCGGGTCTCCATGAGCACGGAGGCGGAGACCACCACCACCTTCTCTCCCTAGGGGCTCCTCTGCGCGGATGGGGACCTCCCTCCCCGGGACCCCAGGGTGGGGACAGGGAGCAAAAGCGATGATTCAGGAGCCTCCCAGAAACTGCCGCGGGACCTCAGTTCGGATCTGGAGCCCTAGCTACCTCAACGCAGGCCGGAAAGAGAAGCTAGCGCCACCGTGGAGGCTGCACCCACAAACCAAGAACTGACGGTTGGGGAGCACTGCGGCTCCCAGGATGCAGGGACGGGGCTGGGGAGCTGTAGATGGTGCAAGGGGACCACTCTTCCTCTGCACCCACCTTCCTCCCATCTAGCACGGAGCCCTCACAGGCAGTCTGGGGCAGAAAACCAGGCTTTGCTCCTGAAACCAAGACAGTCGGTGTGGGGAGGACGGGGTGCCCGGACTAACTGCATCCCCAGCCCCCTCGCTCTCTCCATGGTCCTGCACACCCACAGGCTCTGTCCCTGCACGGCCACCCCTCCCGGCTCCGGGCAGGGGACAGGCGGACAGCTCGTGTCTTCTGCGGGCCAGACCAGCTGCTTGGTTTCACCAAGGTCCGCGATCCGAGCCAGGGCCCCAGAGCGCCACAGCGCGTCACCAGCTCTGGCTTTGGCAGAGGAGCGGAGGAGTGGGCAGTGAGGACATCTGGGGACGAGGCAGGGCGCCCAGGCCGGCTGCCAGAGGCCGGTGAGCTCCTGCTCTCTGCTTTCTCGCAGAAACAGAAAAGACCCCGCTCCTCCAATTCTGCTTCTGGTTCATTAAGAGACCACATCTTATTCCTACACAAATAAAGTTTCCCCTGGGGAAACAGCAGCCTTAAAGCAGGGGAATGCAGCTCTGGTCAGAGGAGTGTTTTGCCTTGCTGTCTGCGCCCCTCCCAACCCCCTCCCGCCTCCCCGCAACACGGCTTGGCGCGTCCACCGACACCGGCCCACGATGGGAGCTGAGGACATGACGTCCACCTCGCAGGCGCCCTTCCCGCACGCAGGGCAGGGAAGCCCAGCCCGGGCGCCGGCAGTGATCGGGAGGCACGGGTCAGAGTGGAGATCTGGAAAGGCCGGGTCATCCCACACCGCAGACCGCTCTGCCCGCCTGGCCCGGGCCTGCCCAGACAGGAGTCCTCACCTTTGTCATGCCCAGAGCTGGGGTTTGGGGGAAGCGCCTTTTCCTTCAATCAAGGGTCTTGGATGGGACCGGTGAGACCGGCCAGCCTTTACTGCCCGGGACCCTCCACGACGGCCCCTAGCAGTCACGTCCCTCCGCGATACGATGAGTGTCTCCGTGGATTCTGCTGCTGTGACAAAATACCACAGGCTGGGTAGTTACTAAGCCTTACAAATGCACCTGTGGCGGAGCTCCTTTCCCCGCCCTGCGGGAGGCCATCCGCCCCGAGGCCAGGTGACTGTGAGAGGAACTCCTCCTCCACCCTGCTGCAGTATAGGCGCCCGCCATGGGGGAGCACGGATGCTGTGCCCCACACCTGGCAGATATCCCTCTCACTGGGGCCCAGGTGCCCCTCCATGATGTCCAGGGCGATGTCCAAAGCCCAGCACCCCCACTGCTCGGCCTGGTGGGGCACAGGAGGGAGGCTGAGGCATTTGCACCAAACATGGCCCCATCCATTTTCCCACGGCCAGAAGAACCTCATTAAAAAGGCTCTCGCCCAGTCATGACACCTGGTCGTGATCCCCATTCTCTGATCTGTGACATGCGACGTTGCCCTCCTCCGCAGGATGCCCGGGAACGGGCGCCCTCAGAGGCTGAGCTGGCACAGGTGCTGGCACCAGCATCAGGCATCGCCAGGTACAGCCGTGTAGGTGGGGCACACGCCGCCAGGGTGCCCGTGTGTCCCTGAGGGGAGCCTGCCTCCGCACACGGGGCGTGTGTACCCTGACCAGGCTGCAGAAGAGAAAGCAACCCTCGTTCCTGCCAGGGAGGAATGCAACAGAGCAGTCGGGGAAAAGAAAGCCAGGCCAAGCACACGAGCTAGCACGCCACCCGGCTTCAGATGCATTTTCTGCCATCACTGGGCGGCTCCAGATATTCACAGAGACAGAGAACCCCCAGCCGTGTCAGTTCCCCAAACCGTGGTGTCTCAGAAGCTCTACACTGGCCTGACCCTGTCTCCCTTGCACAATCTCTTGCGTGCCTGCCCTGGGCTTTGGGGGGACGCCTGGGAAGTCGCAAAGGACCCTGGGAGTCCCACCCAAGCCTTCTCTGTCCCCCGCTTTCTCATCTGTGTCAAGCATCCGCCCGATCTCCCCGGGGTCACAGCCCCCGCGGCCGTCTAGGGTTTCGTAAAGTTTCCCACTCACCCCCGCAGCAACGCCGCCCTCTCAGCCAGAACCGCCTCACCTCCCAGATCCCAGCTGGCCGGGGGGCTCAGAGATCCACGGAGCCAACCTCATCCCTCTCTAGATGGTGAAACTGAGCTCCGGGGGAGGCCCGCCCGTGCCAGGAGAGATGTGGAAACGGAGGAGGATTGCTTAAACTCGCTCAGGGAGCCCAGGCAGGGCAGCCAGCGGGTGGGGAGCAGAGCCTGGAGCCTGGCTGCCTCCAAGGCTGGCTCCAGAGCCTCTGCTGCTCCCCAGCTGTGTGACCTTCAGCTGTTGCTCAACCACTCTGAGTCTCAGATTTCTCAGCTGGAAAACACAGAGGATTTGGGTAAACAGCAGTGCCTAGCATGTCAACCGGGGCGGGGGGCGGGCTCCGCTACCAGACCGTCTGGTACAAATCCCAGTCCCGCTCCTTGGCCTGGTGATGTGGTCCATCAGTTCCTCAGCTTTCTGATCTGTACAATGGGGTGACTAAGAGTGCCCACCTCCCAGGGTGGTGGTAAGGAAGAAATTAACCCACAAAGCAAAATGCTCAGAAACTTGGAGATAAGCATTGTTGGTAATCATTTATTTGGGAGATGTTAAATGGAAACCAAAAAAAAAAAAAAAAATTCGCTAACCTCAAAGCAAGCAAGTTCAATTGTTTAGATCCATTTCCATTCCCATATAATTTATAACATGCCAGAGGCAACTCTGAGCCTAGGAATGCCGGCCTGCCCAAAGGAAACTGGATTTTTGTTAGTGTGGTGCTGCTGAGAATCAAACCCAGGCAGGGAGCAGGGTCAGCAATGGCCAGGTTTCCCTAGTCTGAGCCCCTAGAAAGCTACAGGGGGCCATCTGTGGTGGCACACGCCTGTAATCCCAGCATTCGGGAGGCTGAGGCAGGAGGATCACTGCGAGTCTGAGACCAGCCTGGGCTACAAAGTGAGCTCAAGGCCAGCCTGAACTGCATAGGTGTTTCAAAAAGACAAAGAAAAAAATTACAGAGGACTAACAGGGTCCCTTCGCTTCACCCCAAAGAGCACCCAGCCCCAGCCCGGTGGAGCAGCTGGGTGACAGCCCCAGCCCGCTCATGGCCAACCCAGATCCCTGCAGCTACTGTGCCAGACCCAGCCAGACACGAGAGTGCTCTGCCTGGGGAACTAGCCGGGCCCTGAGGCTCCAGGCCAACGCCAATGTGTGTTAGAATCTGGTGGGAGAGGGCTCACTGCCACCTCTGCGCATGACCCCCGTCAGAGTCCTCCGGCCCTGGGGCTCCCGCCTTCCGCGCGCACTGGGCGGGGTCAGTGGGGTTTGTCCCTCGGGCGCTCGCCGACCTGACTCTTCTAAGTCCCACAGTCGCCCTCTCCCCAACTTTCCAGCCTACACAGCCCAGTCCTGGGGTAGAGGAGCCCCTCGAGCAAGCAGGGTGGGGCTGGGCCCCGCCAGGTCTTGAGTGGCGCTGGGGGCCGGGCTGCTGCCGGATGGCCTCCCACGCCGTGTCAGAGGCCCGGAGGAGGCGTGAGGAAGAGCCCGCGCGGGAGTGGGGGGCCCGCAGCTGCGCGTCCGAGTGCCAGCCACGTGCCAAGGGCGGCGCGAGCGTGCGCGTCCGCTAGGCTCGGAGCGGGTAACGACTGCCCTGCCGAAGCGCAGTCTCACGGGCCTCCCAAGCCCTTGCTTCTGTCCCCTTGTTACGGTCTTCGCCCAAATAGCTGTTTATGCAGCGCCAGCTATTTCTGGGTACAGGTACAACCCATCTCTCTCGGGACCTGCTGGGTGCGGGGCTGTGACCCAGGAGAGGGAATCATCAAAGACCTGGCCCTCGCCTGCCAGGGGAGGTGCCCTCCGCAGCCGGGCACGCCCCGGGCTTCGCCACCGCGCCCTGGAAGTCGCCTTCGGCCGGCCCTGCCTCTCTCACTGGCGTCGGACTCTGCGCTGGACTGGGGTCGCCTCCCCTCCCCGGCCTGCCCCGCCTCCTCCCTTGTCTGGGTGGGGTCCCCGCCAGCCAGGGCGCTGCTGGCAGGGGTGCAGGGCTGGGGGAGGCTGAGGAAGCTGCTCCACCCCCAGCTGTGGTTTCTGCTGGGGCCGGGGCGGCAGCAGGTGGAGGGAAGTGTTTGTCACCCTTCCAACAAAGGGAGTCAGACAAAGCCCCCAGGGCACCATGGGTAAGCAGTAAAGGCGCCCAAAATAAAACCCGCTCTCCTTCACCAGGCGCGGTGGGGCCCATCCCCGGGGCGGGAAGAAGAGGGCCGCGGTTCAGGTGTGAGCACACCCAAGTGGGTGCTCAGGAGTCACCCAGGAACACCACTACACACTCACACGCACGCACGCGCGTGCACACACACATCCAAACAGGGCCCACACGCAAGAGCCCGCGCTGGGTTTAGTGCGTCGGACCCCCACGCTGAAATTCTTGACTCTTTCCAGGCAAGGACATTTCCTTTTGTACTTCTTCGCACACCAGGCCCTGCACGCGGCGGCGCCACCTCTTCCTGCACGGTCTCAGCGGGTCCGGGAACCTGGCAAACCCGCCGCAGCAGCGCCCTGGGCCACACCCCCAGCGCTCAGACGTGCCCCCCAGCGCCGCCCCTCGCGTCTCCTCCCACACACCCGCACCCTCGGGCCGGCGCACGCCCACCCGGCCCCGCAGCCCTCACCCGGGCCACCGACGGGATGGGGGCAGCAGGTGGAGGCGCTGGGCAGGGGAAGGGCCTGGACGGAAGAGGGGTTCACTTCCTGGGCCCCCAACCTCCTCAAAACAGCCGCGGCTTCTTCCACGGGTCTCAGCTCACAAAGCAGCCCGGAGGCTGAAGACGCGTCCCCAACCTCTGCCAATAGCTAGATGGCCCCTCGGGGACCGGGGAGACACAGGGACACTGCAGGGGTGCGGGGTGCACGCAGGCCGCGGCCTGACCTCCTGGGTACCCCCAGCGCCCTTGCGACCTGTGCTTGGTTCGGAGCTATCAGACGCCCCCCGTGCACGCCCCACGGCCACCAAGCGGTTCCGAGGTCTTTATTCCTGGGCTTCTCCTCTCCGGCTTCCTCCTCCCTTCAGGCGCCTCCAACGACCCTGGCTCCTTTTGAACCCGCAGTCCCCGCCCCAAACTGAGCAGGGGGTGCAGAGGCGGGGTGCACGGCCTGGGACCTTTTCTTCCTCCCCCGCTTTCCACCCTCAACCCCGTCCTCCCGCCGGCAAAACTGTTCCAGGCTCCGGCCCTGCCCTGAGCACCGAACATATCGTTAGGCGATGCCAGATGCTGGGGGAAAAGCGGGCACTGAGGGGCACACCCGCCTGTCCTGCTCCTGCAGTCACCCACGGGGGTAGGAAGTTCCACTGGAGAGGCCACCTTCTTCAGAGCCCTTCTGAGGGCTCAGGTCCCCAGACCCCCACGCCCTTGTCGATTTACTGAAAGGAAACTGAGGCACGGGGGTGTGCGGCAGAGCTGGGCCTGTGCCTCTGAAACGCAGCCGGTGGGAGACCAGAGCCAGCACGCGTCTCCCCTGCTCACAGCGGTCCCCAGCCTCAGGGGTGGCCGGCGGCCAGGCTGGTTGGGGTTTAGCCAGGGAGAGCGGGCTGGTGCCCAGGTGCCCCTGGGCAGGGAGGAGGGGGCAGAGAGAGAGCCAAGATGCCCGTCCCCGGAGTGGGGAACCACTCCTCATCTGCGTGCCCTTGCAGCTGTCTGTCCTCTCCTCAGCCTCAGTTTACCCATTTGAAAACCAGGCTGACGCTGTAGAGTTCTGTTACCCGAGGCAGCAGCCGTAGAGCTCTTGGCGTTGTGGAGAGGGACAGGGAGAGGCAGGACAGAGCCCTCCCTGTGGGTATCCTGTTCGGCATTTTAGGGGGCATGTTTGCCAGAGAGACGCAGAAATCGGCCCCTCGTGACATAGGAGGGCAGGCGTCACCGGCTTCAGTTACAGGGGGCCGAGCTCAAATGCTCAGGGACGGACCGCCTCCCCGCAAGCACGATGCCCTGCGTGACCACAGTTCCTTCTGGGAATGAGGTTTGAGTGGCGGGCTTCAAGGTGCAGGCCCTCTCCTGCCAGGCTGGCCTCACCCAGCGCCCAGGGCATCAGAGCCCAAAAGCCGTCTGCGGGACGCACGTATGAGTGGTGGGTGTGGGGGCCTCCCGTGCGCCACGTGGCGGGGACAACCTCCTCGCTGTGGCTAAAGGTAGGGGCGCCATCATAAACCTGTGGCCCTGCCCCCTCACCTTCTCCCATCCCGAAAGCACAGGTGCCCCGCCAACAGGTGCCATCTCCAGGGGACCCGAAGCCCCAGTTTGGTCATTTCCAGCATAGGCTACACAGCACCAGCTCCACAGCCTCGTGCCAGGCAGCTGTGCCCAGGGCCAGGC